AAATTATCTCAAAGCGCAATGCCTGGCATATGCCCATCTTCATTAGCCTGGTAGAAGCAGAAAAGTAGGTCATTAAATCACATTTCATTTTGATATTTTTTGTTGTCTTGTATGTTCAATTAACCCTTTAGCATCATTTGCTACAAATATTTTTTTTCTTGGATCTAAAGGCATGTTTGTGCGTCATTCATAGAGTAATAATGGGCAGCATCTCTGATCACAGACTTGCCATAGGCTTTAGAACAGGTTGTTGATTTATTTACGTGTTCATGGTGATTACAACATCCAGGACAAATCATGATGAGATTATATTAATGGAAAGAATATGATATCTAAATAGATAGGTAAGTTGCCAGGCAACAACACATACGCCCACAGCAGCTAAGTTGTTCTAACAGTCAACACGGCAAAATCTTTATTGTATCATATGATTGATAATTTATCATAGTATTATTAAGAATTAGTCTAATTTTATGCTACAACCAAAAGCCATTTTTTTCACTTTTAATTACAGTATAAATACATTGATGAGTTCCTGAAAATACCCATCCTCCCTCAGAAACCTTGCAGTTTTATGTAACAAAACTAGAGATATCCTCAGATTTGGGGTATGTTTTGACATTTGGGCACTTCACAGGTGATATAACTATTTATCATCATCCACAAAAATAAAAAAAGAGACACCTTACATATAATCCCAGGTATCAAGAACTTAAAAATAACATAAAATACTGTCACATAAAGAAATATGACCAAGTAATCTTTGTTCTGGCTATTTTATACAAAATTGTTTTGAACAAAGTTGTATGTTTTGCTTAAAGGTCACAGGAAAATCTTCATTTTTTTTTTTAAATAATGCAAGTAATTATGTCAACATATCCTTTCCATAAGTATAACGCGAACCTGAATGTCAATATTACCTACAACAGGTAAATTCCAACGTCAGTAATTTCCGCAGTTCTTTGTGAGTAGTCGTAACTTTCCGTCAATAAACAATCTGTCATTTTAGTCCTTCTCCCCATATTCTAGTCTATATTTCTATGAACAGAAGGACTAAAATGATGGAAAGTTAAGACTACCCACGGAGAACGGCAGAAATTACTAACATTGAAATTTACCTTTTACAGGTAATATTGACATTCAGGTTCATGTTATACTTGAGTGCATGTTAAAGATCCCATCTTCATTAGCCCAGTCGGAGAAGAACAGTAGGATGTTAAGACCCATTTCATTTCATTTAACAAATCACCACAAATCAAAATTCTTTTTTTACCAACCAGCTACAGTATGACTTAAAAGATCCTCAATGCTAGGTTTCCACTGTCGTGCAATATGTTACGCTATAGGATTGTCCCTATTGAGTCCACGATTAGCTATGTGCAGATACGTTCAGATATGATAGGATCTAATAGGATCACCACGATTAAAACCACGATTTCAATCGTAGCACAAATCATGATAGTGGGAACACCTAGAATAAGGGGAAAAAAAAAAGGGTTTCTTTGAAAATTTTTTATAAAAAACGTGAATTTTTTAAATTACATTTGGTGTATCATTTCAATTTTTGATAGGTGTACTTATTTAAAAGTTCCAAAATAAATTGTACGAGATTGAAAGTGGTGTCAAGTGTTCTAGAAAGGAATACATTCTACATGACATATGACTATCATCTGGGAATTATTATTTGGGTACTAAATCATGGACCTATGTATACATACAGTTTAATAATTTTTCGTAGCTTTTCACTACACTACCGGTACCAGTAATTTTCCTTTTTAAACTGCATCACTCTTAATTATTATAGTTCTCAAAACAGGTTAGCAAATTACAGTAGAATGTCGGTAATGTGTTAGGGATATGAAATGAAATGGGGTTAACATCCACTCAACACAAACTAGGTCATTTTGGGACTAACATATGGTTAAATTTTATTTCAATAATTTGCTTGCATGTAGGGGTTTTTAACAGTGGGAGGAAACCAGAGGACCCGGAGAAAACCCATGAGGTTTGACAAGCGACCTACTTCCTTGTCATGAACATAAGGGGAATTGAAACCATGCCACTTGACTCAATGACACAATGACACACCTTGTAATCTAACCTGCACACGTTTAAACAACAGCCACCCATCCTTCTTGATGTCTTAAGACATGATGGAAGTTATGCCCAGACTGTGGCATTACATTGATTTCCAAGAATCCAAATGTCACCGGATCTTTAAAATGCTGCCAATAGTATACAAGGAACCTCAATTTTCCTTCCCATCTGAATGACTAGACACTTTTCCTTTCCATTATCCACCACTGACATTGTGAAACCTGGGGCCTATTTCACAAAATTTTAACTAAGATAAAAATCCAAATTTTAGTAATTTGATTGGATAATATTAGATTGAATTTAGTGCTTAGCCAATCCAAATTGAAGTATCTACTAAAATTTGGATTTTATCTTTAGTTAAGATTTCGAGAAACAGGGCCCAGGGCTGGAAAAATCTGAGGAACTTATTTATGTTTGGTCCGTTACTGATACTAAAATCTATCATCTTCAATAGAAGGCTTGATCTCGCCTTAACTACGTACATCTTATCAAGACCTTCACGTAACACCCCGCATATTTTAGCACTAATTTCGATTGGGTATAAGCCCAGCTTGTGATCCTATCAGATTCCTTCGTTAAAAATATGGTTATTATTATCAAGTCTCGCGCTTCTAGCTATAATGTCTACATGTGACACTCGAGTTGCAGTAAAATGTCTACATGTGACAATCGAGTTGCGAAGTTCAAGGTTCGATCAATGTCAAGGTTGCTGGAAATTATGGTTGATCAACAAAGGCTGTAAACTTGTCTATTTCTTTTTCTATGGAGGCCGCCATATTTGTTTACAGTGTGTTATGTGCCACGACCTCTGATTGAACAATGCTAATTAGTCATGTGTAAACACAACAAGCGCAAAAATTTGGGAATTGTTGAGTATTGAAGCAACGGCTAGATGTTGTAAAACTCGCGTTTGTTGCTTCAGGAACATGAAAATCTATAGGATATCCAGTGTAATGGTACCCGCTCCTGATCTTACTACATATGTATACAATATATAAAATTGTCAAATCTTTTTCAAAACTCGGTCAGACTTAATCAGAATCATGACACATTAAATGTAGTAGGAATGGAATTAGATCTTATTCTTCAAAACCTAAACAAAGAATAAGAAGACAGTCTTTCTATGTAGAAGTCAGATTCAATTTCTATATGGCCGCATGTCAATTTGTCCGTCAGTCAAGCATTTATTGTACTGTATTCACTGTAAAGAGTTAATTTCCTGATCAATTTCCATAGTATTTTCAGGAATAGTTAGTATGTTATATATGTTCTTGCCCATTTACAATCACTCCTAAAGCACTTGCGATGGAATCTGTGAGAACCGTGGCAGGAAATTAGAAATAAATATCAAAGGGTTTCCTTCAAGAAAAATGACAGCTGTATTACAACCAAGATGTAAAAATTGTGAGTCTACATACATTTGTATATATGAGCTATTTATTTTTCGCATGACAACCAAATGTAAAAATTTGTACTGTATGAAAGGTTTTTTTCTACGACAAAAATACAAAGGTAATTCTAGTCAGGTTACATTTGGTTTGTTTGAATTTCAGAGGACAGTTTCTTCATTGTATAGTGTTGCTAGGCAAAGACAATATGGCCATTGACAGAATTCTCAAGGGAGGCAGCAAGAGTGTCAAAAACATGTATTGTTGTCCAGGCAATGAAGCAATCAATCCAATGAAAACCATGGGATATATAGATATGGATTTCAGTTCAATCAAGTTTATATGAAATGGGGTTTAACGTCCTACTCTTCTGCACCGACTGGACTAATGAAGACAGGTGTACATGCAGTGTGGTGTATACCATACAGTTTGCTAAGAAGAGGGAAATTTTGCCCGCCCAGCGGCGCTATGGCTTACTCTTATTTCGATTTTCAACTGTCAAGGGTTCTTTTTTATGCACGCCAATATGTATACATGATTTTTTTTTTTTTTTATCCTATCTGAATAGCTAGATACTGTCCTTTCCAAGCCCTCCATTCTACACCCACTGACAAGGCGGAATCATGATGGATAATTCCAGGGAACTTTCTGCGGACCTCTAAGTTAATGAGCCATCGCCTTACTGACAAAGCCACTGCGGCTACCTCAATGAAGTTACAAAAAAAAATACAAAGGTTTAGTTTTCTTTCACAGATCTATCATACTATGAATGACCTTTTGTTATCGTCATTCGAGTCTCAAACATTTTTTGCTAAATTCTATGAGTGTTCACTAACAACTGTCATATGGAATCCAGATTTGGAAGTCAGATTTAAAACTTTTAATCACATCATCGGTTGCTGTCTGGCACGCTCTCTCACAAAATGTCCGCATTTCCAGTAATGGTATCATCCGTCAAACTCATGCTTGCTTAGAAACCACAATGACAAGTGAATTATTTGATTGATGGGCAACAGCAATAAATTTAGCATCTTTCACTATGAGAATAAAATTTTACTGATACAAAGAATTTTTAAATTTGATGTCGTGGGGTTTTCTAACTCTAAATTTGAATTTGCATGATATGGCTAGCAGAATAAACCCAGTAAGTTTGAAAAGAAAACAATCCATTTTTTAACACAAGATGTTTGTTTCACAGAGTCATGTGTTTAAAATATAGACACTTGATTGTCAGCTGAGCGTAATCAATGCAAATCTTCATTAAGTCTATTTTCCTTGCGTCAAAATTCCTGGGAATTTGAATGGGAGAATCAAGGGTCATATGTGTAGCTTACTAGCTAAGAGTCTAATAAGCTGGAACGTGGGATACAATTTGAACTTTCGACAAATGAAAACATAGCAAGGTTAATCTTCAAAATATTATAGCTGAGGTTTACAGACATATTTGTTGTATGAAAGTCTCACAATCCGTCCTCCAGGTCAGACTAAACCTTAAAATATAAAACATGAACCTACCTTGGTCTCCTCAAGATAGTCATAGAAGTGTTTCAGATTCATCTCTTGATCCTAAATCAGTACTCACACTTCTCTGTAAGGAAGAATTCTGAGGAGAATCTAGATCATCATCGTAAAAATCAGTTTGCGCTACTCCATGTCGTTTAACTATATAAGGACTTGGGAAACGCTCAGATTTAGAAACAATAGACGCATTGTCTTCATCTATATAAGTGTTTTCAGGACAATTCCCGTTAGCAGTCATTTCTGCCAGTTCTTTAGCACTGCAAGATGGGGTATCTATTGGAATGGCATTATGGAAACGTGAAAAGTCTATTTGGTATTGTCCGTCTTCTTTCTGAAATGTCACTAGACGTTCAAATCGATGTCCCCACAGAACCTCGCCTGGAAGATAAGAACTTCTAGCTTGTGTTGTCATTCCAGTAGATTCTACAATACCTTCTAGAATAACTATGAGTTCAAATTGTTCTCGATGTAAATCTTCAGGAGATAATTCCCAGAATGGACTGGTTTCATCTATTTTATGGACTATTATCACTGGCCATACTAAAAACAAACGATCGCGACCTTCATCAAAACCTAGATCGACGTCAAACTGATATAGAGGTAAGATCTCCCCTTCTTTAGTTATTTTCTTTTTTATTAATACTGCTCTGATATGTGCTTCTACTATTTGTGATTTTCGCATATCACCAACACGAAATAATAAACATAGATCACCATCTTGCTTACATATGCATGCATTTTTGCTAAACATAAGCGTTTCCGCTCGTTTTTTGGGTCTAGAGAGCTTAGCAAACACTATACCAGTCATTAAGGCTTGACATATCACACCAAAGCATGATTGAAACATCATTAACACAATAGCTTCCGGGCATTCTTCTGTTGTATGTCGAGAACCATAACCTATTGTATGTTGGGTTTCTATAGAAAATAAAAGCGCTGATGTGAAAGTGTAAATCTCTTTAACACAGGGTTTCCAATCTTTTTCTCCTGCATGTTCTAAATCACCATGTGAGAAACACACTAACCACCAAATCAAACCGAATATTAACCAACTTAATGTAAAAGCTAAGGCAAACAGCATAAGATTATATCTCCATTTTATGTCAACTAAAGTAGTAAAAATATCAGCTAAATATCTTCGTCTACGTTTTCGTATATTTGTCTGAGTAATATTAACATCTCCATTTTTATAAACTAAGCGTCGCCTCATACGCTTTGAATGATGTCTGTCTGCTCGTCTGTTTAACTGAGCATTGTTTGTCTGACGAATATTTCTAGAGGCATACTCCATGAAAGAATCCTGTGATGATCGTCGATTTTCATGCTTCCCATTCTCCAGTAGATCGGGATCTGGCAATACTGCAGCAGGTCCGTTCATCCCAGTGCCATAACTGGCATCCATAATGACAGCCTGCATTTCGAATTAACTTTGCCTTGGTTGAATAAACATGCTAATTGTGTAACTTGAAACTTTGTGACACATGGCGGTCTGTTTAACGCGTCTGCTGTAATTCATATTGACCAATCACCTGTCTGTTCTTTCACCTGTAATAAGAACAAGAATAAGTTATTTGTCAGTCAACACATTAGGTATCAATAGCCATCAACGTTCTTTGATTACAAACTGTTTGCCATCTTTCAAACCTAGCAAACAACTGATGTAAATATTCATACATCTTTCAAAACATAATTTTTGACAAACAGCATGCCATATTTTCTGCAAATGCAGCAATTAATTTCATTACAGTTTCGAATAATTGTTATTGGAAATAATAAAGACTATTTAAACAGCACAAAACAAACATCAGATTCATGGCACCATACACACTCCTACACTTAAACACTGGTAATTATTATATGGCACCATACACACTCCTACACTTAAGCACTGGTAATTATGAAAGAAGCTGATTGTCATTTGCATTTCTAGGACGATATCTACTATTTCACAGCTAAATCCATGCTAAAATGATTATTCAACATCCAATTAAGAATATAAAACCCAAATATAATCAGTAGATAATCTCTTGCCTTGGATTTAATTGGATTGATGAAGATGGGACCTATCAAAAGATTTCTGCTATAGGTGCAGTCGATTGATTATAACATCTTTTGCTGGACACCAAATGTTTACAAATATCAAGTCATCACATCTTTGTAAATACTGAACAGAATTGAAGCATTTACGGACTGAAATTCCTTTTAGAGATTCAACTTTCACAAAATTGTAGTTCGCAAGGGATTAAGAATCCCTCTAATGATGATATGAGAATTTAAATAATTAATCCAAGAACATACATGTAAATTATTTGATAAATCATTCATACAGATAAATTATTTCTTCCAGTTATGTTACATATTTAAAGTGTTTCCTTGTTACTACAGTCTGTTTGGTACAGAAAAGTGGGATGTTTAAGTTTAACCTCATTTCATTTCCATTTTGTTTCTTGGAAATCCTATATTTTGACTTGTGGAAAATCACTGACATGCTATTTCATCCTGTTACTAAACATACTCGTTGATTATTAAAAAAAAAATCCTCCACGGTTTTTATTACAGCAAGCATATAAACTAATACTACTCACGCTAACAAATCATTATATTAGGTAGAAGAATTACAATCACTCCACTCACTGCTAACAATATATCGATGTATTATTCGATACACAAAACACATCTCGTTAGGACGTATATCATACTTGCTAATATAATAGTCACATTTAATTAGACTGACACATGAAATTAGTACTTATATCACAAATTAAGATTTATTACATACCATAGTTATTATATATATATTATCATACTTGACTGTACAGAAACAGCCGTCTACCCTATAGAGGAATCATTATAACATAGTAGAGATTACAGCTGTATTATGTAGCTTTGCAGCACTAATTAGGACTTGGATTCCGACCAAACTACAGATCTGTCAGTGACAATTAATCAATCCTATAGAGATGTATGAGAACATGCCGATCTAAGACCAACGTCCTTCAAATTCTTTGGCTGATTTAATGTACCAAATGATGTTATATCACTGGAATGCGTTTCTTTATTCTAAACACATGTAGAACCATTCCTGTGTTTTTTTATAACGAGTACATCTTCTGGTAAAGCAATTAAAGACATTCATGTCTTTTTTCCACACGCAGGATATGCCATTCACGTCCAAATATTGTGTCACAAGATGTGTCAAAAGGTCAAGGTAGGAAAACAAGAGAAAATCTTTTGCTTAAATGTGAGAGTGAGGTTGGTCGCAGATCTTTCCCCATCATTAAGAATGAGGCGAAAATGTCCTTGTTCATAATTGTCATCCAGTCGTACATACAGGGGGAGTCAAGTGGCCCATGTGCAATTCATATCTTAAGATCTTTCATTTAAAGGCATGGTTTCGATCCTAAGCTTGTACGTGACAAGGAGTAGGGTAACCTGCCCAACCCTTTTGGTTTTCTCTGGGACTTCTGATAAAGAAACACCCCTATGAGCATAGCAAGCAAATTTTTGAAACATAAATATAACATATGTTAGTCCTGAAATCTGTTTTGAGTTGACATCTGTCACTGAGTCAAGTACGGTAACATGATTTTGTCTTTGATTTTAAGCATGTATGTGACAAAGAGTAGGACCACCTGTCCAGCATTTTGGGTTTTCTCCGTAAAGTGAATTATTTAGATATAAATGTACTACTAGTTCAGTTTGAGTGGACGTTAAACCCTATTTCTCTATCTTCCATTTCTCCCATATTCAGTATATATATACATTGGCTGATTTGGTAACTATAAATTTTACAGAGTTCTCAACTGCTCCGAGCCATAACTTACATGACATGAAATGGGCCATTGCTGGATTCGATAACTATAAAATATGTGTATGACTGAGGATTCTGTCGGTGGTAGAACTTTCTACTTATTAACCTCCTGCTTTCGGTCCTCTAAAACACACAAAGCAGGAGGTCTTTAATTCTACTTAATCAAACATTTGATAATGAATGAAGCACTGGGAAAATATGGCAAGACTTGTAAATCACATAGCTAGTTTAACAGCTAATTAGTACAATCAATATTATTATTAATATCATAATATAGATATATACCACCCCACCACGAGTCACAACTCATTCAAACTTCTCTTAATCAATTACACCCAACATGACAACACCGGTAGTAAATGAAAATATGATTGAGTTAACCCATGATATATAAAGTGCAGTAAACACTTACTATTGAATTTCAAATCAAAGACTGATTGATTTTGTGTTGATTGTCATTAGAACACTTTGATTATATATTCATATAGTTATACTACACCCAATGTTAATGACATGCATACACTCAATGGAATACAATCATAAAGGATTAAAGACTCTTTGTTTTAGGTCAAAATAGAGTATCGAATTAGGCTGATCTGTTGTGATCATCTCATTAATGATGATATAAAAAAAAAAGGAGCTGTACATGATAAATTTTAGTTTCAAAAGATTGAGCCAAAGTTGGTTTACTTATTAGTTTTTAGCGTACTGTATCTGCTGTATCTAATAAATCTTAAGACTGGTTTATATTGGTTTTACAGTATATAGGGATCAAATATTTTTATATGAAATCAGATTGTTATTTCTCAAAACAAATCAAATTAACAGCCACATATTATTAACAATCAAATTAACAATTTAGTTTTGATCAATATCATAGAAAGAGTGGCATGACATGTATAATCTTATACCATGTGCAATACTTGGCTTAAATTCTTAAAAATATGGAAATTTTTCTCTGTTATCTTAATTAATCATCCAGTGGCAATTTACCAGAACCTATATAAGATATCCTTTCTTTCGCAACAGATAAGGCAAGAGCAGAAAGTTGTAAATTTCCATCTCACTTGATTCTTTTTCAAACTACAATATTGTGAAAGCTGAACCTCTGAAATGGATATCTGACAGTAAAAAAAAAATATAGTTTGATTTGGTTTAGTAGTTACAAAGATATGATGAAATAAAATTTCGCAACATTTGATATCCTCTGAAGATGATATACATAATACTGTACATGTAGACAATCAATGCCACCTGTAACCATTAGATCAAATCTTTTGATGGACCTCTTTCCAACTTGATTCAATCCAAACCTGATATTTTGTTTTGGCTTTCCTTATGAAATGTTCAATAATCAATATCAGTACATTTTAGCCTGGATTAAGAATAAAAACTCAGGGTATTGTCCAAATATAAATCGAATATATAATCAAATCCTTACAATACCCACCAAACAAATGCACCCATTATCTGAATCTAATTATAGAACCAAGTCAACTGTAAAGCTGCATTATTAATACATGTCAATTACTAAAAATAAATTAAATATTGTCATTTCAACAACTTTTATCTATAACCACTAAAATCCCAAGGAGAACAATTACCTGGCACATTTAAGATAATTTTATTGACAGAATCCATTAGCACCCAATCCATCAAAATCTTAATAACCTCTGATGGAAGAGTCAAATAATTCACAGTATTACTGATCTATGAGCCATGTCATATACACCCTTTTGGGAATTCTTTACACTTTGGATTAAGAGGAATTAATGGATTAAGATTAGATGAAGACAGTATCGTCTACAACACAATAAAAATGGTACTTAACTATAAATGTACGTTGCTATAGGATGATCCTTCCTCTTAGTACCAGACAATAAGATTACACAATCCGGAATAATATAATTTATATAACATAGTCTTCCAGTTTCACCACAGACTATATAACTCTAGCCTCCATTAAATCCCATAATTCGACAATACACATTTTTATCATAATATTCGGTGAACCACGAAACCCCAACTTAAATTTATAAAACACAATATGTAGACTTACTATTCACCGGTGTCTTTATTCTAACTTCATAATATATCAATCATTTGTATTTCTGTCTGTCAGACCATTAACCTCTAACACAGTTTGTTACATGTAACCGGTTTGCAATATCCATATTCTGCTGGTTATAATCCTACCCTAGTCTATATCACATCATACGTATATAGATTATAGTCCTCAACACACAGGACTTTACTCCACGCCAACTTTCTTACAAATAATACTCAATCCCTCAACAAGAATTGTATTTTATATATTTGGCAGAATGCCCATTGCGAAGGTCCATAGCACTCACACAAACAGATCCTGTTCTATGTAGACAGAAGCCAGCTAGCTACTGGCCGGTTAACTCCTCCATATGAATCATACCAATAGAGTTGAATGTTGGAGAATTAGAACCAAACTCAATCGGATGTGTTAATAGATCAATCAATTGAATCTTTCTACACATAACCATCACACTCTATAATTCATAAACATTATCCAATGCTTTAGTTAAATGTATTATAAGTTTTTAATATTCATAATTAATTTTGGTAATTAATACGGATGCATATTTCTAATGAATTATACCTTTAAAATATCCATTTATATTTGGCTCAAATCTAATGAATATTCCACAGATAATTAATTTTGATATCAATTCCAAAGTATGTAGCATATAACAGAGTGAATGATTTATAATACACAATGATAAATTAGGGACATAATTTCAACCTCCATTATGAGATACCACCAGAGAGAGAGAGAGAGAGAGAGAGAGAGAGAAAGAGAGTTTATTGTCCACTCAACACAAACTACCTAGGTCATTTCAGGACTGAAACACACGGTTCAATTCTATTTCAATAATTCGCTTGCACATAGGTATCTTTAGCAGTGGGAGGAAACCAGAGAAAACCCTAAAAGTTCAGCACACGACCCTGCTCCTTGTCACGCTCAAGTGTGGGATCAAAACCAGTTAACTTGACTCAATGGCAGACCTAGTGATCTGAAGCAGATGCATTAGATCATTCGACTACCTAACCCTCAACGCAAAGACAAATGTTTTACCTACATAATATCTGTATAGAAGGACTTTACAGAAAGATGTCTATATCATATACAGACATGCCTTTTACTTTACCTACCTTAATTTCATGTCACATTAAAGAGCATCCATAACCGTCCAACAATTAAAATGATTAAACCATCTATCTACCTGACAATAGTTTATATACACATGAATAATTCACACTAATAGTATGTTTAGCTGAGAGACCATACACATACATTATCCCTACTTCCCTGTAAACAATGCATTCTTTTATGATACCTGCCCTCAAGCATTAAGAATATTCCACATGATAGAGACTTCTAAATAGGCATAATTATCCACTGAACCATTATAACAAGGTAACAACGACATACATTGCTTTTCTCGTCGCACATAATGTAGTAGCATTAACGGACATTTACTATAACTTTATAATAATATAACTAAATCACCCATTTTATCCTCGACTACAAACTAATGATAAACACTGACTGATTTTCCTCTGATTATTTTAAAGAGGCACTGTGTAAGATTTAGATAACTAGCTGTCCATTCTTCTTACTATAATACTTTCAAAATAGATAATGATAAATGTATATTGAAAATTTCAGTCAAATTCCTTTATTCTGTGCATAAAGTTATGAGTGTTTGAAGTATTGAGAAAATGTAGTGTAGATTGTGTATTATCGTAGTAACGGTACTTGACAATCAAGACTAAGTTTAAATTATCTCTAATATTGCTAAAACTCTTAAATGGTTGTAACATGGATCGTGTATAGATGGACAGGCAACGTCCACGAAGCCTTAAGAATTCTGTGTGGCGGCAAAAAATAGACCGGACAATCATGACTAAAATAAAATTATTTTCCCTCGCGCAATTACCAGTATTAAGTTTAAAAGCAAAGAAACAGAAATCAATTCATAATATTTTTATTAATCTTGCTACTCTTTTTTTTTGCAATCCATACATAGATAGACTACTAACTGATCAACACATCATCTTTGTTTACTTCAGACGCGCCCATATGATGAATCCGAAAAAAAACATGTCGAGTTTTCGTTAAAACCAAACCTACTAAAACATTCTTTTAATTTCTACTTCTGCACAATTAATCGTCATTCCGGACAGTATTATACCTGAACTTTATATTCATAATTTTGAAATCCTTCATACATGCGGGAATTTGGAGTATTAGGCAAAACCAAAATGCTTACAAAAACTACGAATATACTGAAATCGATCATTTCACAATTTTCAACTGCCGCATTTGGAAATTTCAAAGTTCTAAACTGGAGAAATTCGCCACTACCGTAAATTCTAAAGAGTAGTTCGAGAAATTAATCTGTATAAAATCCCACAATGTCAAAAATCACATCGCTTGAATTGCCATTGACATTGAGATTGAGATTGAGATCTCGCAGTGTCTCGCGCGAGCGGCAGAGAATCCAACCAACGGGACTTGTTGCCTGTCCATCTATATACAGTCCATGGTTGTAATCTACTTACAATCGGAGTCATCAGATGACCCAGAGAGTTGATTATGGGCTTGTCATGTTAATAAATGTTTAAATAATGATTTATAAAACATCTGAGGCCAGAAAAAATACCTGCAATAGGCAGATTTAGCTCTTGCATAAAGCATCTTTAACATAAAGAGCGAAATATGTGCATCTATTACAATATTTGGTTTAGAAATTTCAAATATCAAAGCACCAATGATTGATCTGAAAGCAAAACATGTGTATGTATTCCAATATCTGATTTAGAAATTTCAAATATCAGAGTTCAGGGCTATTATAAAATCAAATTTTATTATAAGTCACATTATAACAAAAACTCTTATAAACGTTAACATTACTATGATATAATAAACAATGAATTCAAAACATTAATAGCAAACTAACCAAACTTTCTTCCCAACTTCTAAAAGCCTCTGTATATAAAGATTTACCATGTTTTAAATACAGAAATATAAATAAGAAGTGCCTACTCATCAATTCATAAATAGAATTTGAAGGTTGGGTGGCACTCCAGCCTGGCAATTCCCAAAAATATTCAACTGTAGAAGGATACCTTGTTGACTTTTACCAATTTCCTTTCACAATTAATGAATCCTTCACCGAAACAATTACAGAAACACACAGGCCTACCAAGTTAGTCCCAAAGGGACCTAATGTTGAGTGGATGTAGACTGCTTCACTGATGATTTAAAACCAAACAGTTGGTATATAAAAAGATTATGGTAATAAAACCAAACACTGTTGAAATAGGTTTTGCAAATTTCTTTCTTCTAATACGGTATTACTGGTATACAACTCTGTGTTAAAATTTTTGAGTCAGTAAACTGATTAGTACTATACGAGTGGCTTTAGCAAAATATGTCGACCGTAGGCAGGAGGAATGTCCGAATGATTGGCACCAAGAATAGAGGATCATGGGAGGAAGTGGCAGCAATAAAAGTATCCGACTACCAGCTACAGCACTGGGTATTCAAACAATAAAGTAATGGACACAAATACTATTATATATCATAATATTCATTTATGTCATCTCAATTAATGTTGGTTTACTTATTCTAACCAGCACAAATAAAAATAGTTTAAAATAAATGGTTCCATTAGCAAGAGTCAGTCTGCACAGCATGAAATATACCTTAGAAAATAACTTATTCAATTCAATTTGTGTATGACCATTAATTGCATCTTAATGTACATGTAGGACAAAGATTGAGTTGTACCCAAAAATGTGTTTTAGCTTGTCTAAACTCAGAACAATAAAACCTAGAGCTCTGTCGGGTCACGTCAGGTCACGCCTTGTCACATCAACAATCAAGGTACACCATGAATTATTGAGTATAGTAACATCCAATACGTATTAAAGTGGAAAAACCTGTCATTTTGAAATCTTAATATAACCAAAAGTTATACTTCAAGACCAAACTTTTTGATATTAGTTGTTAGTAGATGTCAGGTCATCATATATGCAAAGGTCATAGGTCATTGTAAGGCTAGGTCACAAGATAGTAAGTCAAAAGTCGGAAAAAAAATTCAAAGTTAAACCAGAAGTAAACAAAATCGAAATTCAAAAATTGCCTCCCTAAGTATTGTTGCCATTGGGAGTAGGTTCAAAACAAAATTTTTTTTTCGAAAATCAGAATCAAAATAGTGGCTGAATATGGATTTGAAGGCTTTTTGTAAAATCCAACATGACGGCCAAATTGTTGAAAATGTTACCGAACAACGTCTCTAAAAATGAAAGATAATATCTGTGTAGTACCATGGGTCTTTAGTCAGACGTGGAAAGTGGAAAATCCTTAAAACCAGTCGCCACATCCGACGTATAACCGATGCATCTTTTCTTACAATAGACTTGTGATCGTCTAGTATTTTCACTTGTCGTCTTTGCTTCCCCTTCGCGTTGTGTATTTACTTCTTTTTTCTTTTGTTTATGGGGGGGTTGGATGGCCAAATGGTTAGCACATGTGCGCTGTACCATAAGACCTGTCATTAAGTCAACTGGTGCAGTTTCGAATCCCCGGTTGTACATGACAAGGAGTAGGGTCGCCTGTCCAACCTCGTGGGTTTTCTCAGGTTTCCTCCTACTGCTAAAGACCCCTACACGCAAGCGAATTATTGAAATAAAATTAAACCATATGTTAGTCCCGAAATGACCTAGTTTGTGTTGAGTGGATGTTAAACCCCATTTCTCTCTCTCTCTCTCTCTCTCTCTCTCTCTTCTCAGTAGTTGTACATGACAAGGAGTAGGGTCGCCTGTCCAACCTCGTGGGTTTTCTCCGGTTTCCTCCTACTGCTAAAGACCCCTACGCGCAAGCAAATTATTGAAATAAAATTAAACCATATGTTAGTCCCGAAATGACCTAGTTTGTGTTGAGTGGATGTTAAACCCCATCTCTCTCTCTCTCTCTCTCTTCTTTTTATCTATCTCAGTTAAGACCTTTGTCTTCTCAGTAGTTAAGACGTCTTTCCAGGAATAAGAATGCAACAGTTTGTTTTATCTTTTATATAATAAAGTGATTCTCTCAGTCTCAAACCCCATCCAGCCAGACTCGATGGAGTGTGTCTGCTGATAGAGATTGC